CTGGTTCAACTCAATCCGATTATTTCATCTTTCTGATTATACAACTTACGCTACACGGGACCCAGAGAGTACTTCAACCTCATCATTGACGTCCAACGTCAAGATCGTATCCCTTCATATTGACAACACTCTACTGCCAGATGTATATCCCCAATACCTGCCTAGTCTCCCTGAGACACTAAAGGAACTCACTGTAAATCTGAAAGTTCAGGACATCCCTTTCCGTTCAGCTACTCCTGGAGCTCAACCCATTCAACATCTAAACAGTGGTTTACTTGACCACGTTGGCTCCAATCTGAGTGCCTTACATTTGCGTTTTGAGAACATGTCCACTGGAAGAAATTTCGATGATCCAGGTTGGTTCAATCTCAATTTTTTCTGGTTGCCATACTACGCCTTATGTTGATCTTATTGCTTTTCGTTCAGCGAGAGTCGAAAGGATGGTTTCGAAACTGAACCTCGTTCGTTGCGTTGGATTGGAGAAAATGACAGTTTCAATCTTGAGCGACCATACTTTTCAGTACAAAATTCTCGTCCCACTTCTCCAATCATTACCGGGGAATCATATCCGGAAACTCACCATCAATCTTCTAATACCTCCTGGCGACATCCATCTCTTAGAACCACACCTGAGAAAGATTGACATTTGGGAGGAACTTGAAGAGTGCATCTTGAACACGTTCGACAAGTTACGAAGTCTGACAATGACATATGGTCGTGTGGAGCGGGTAGGGACGCAATACGAGAGTGTAGAGGAGTCACATGTAGTTCACAGGAGCTACATGGTAGATCGGCTTCCCAGGTTATTGGAAAAGAGGATATTTTCTTGCGAAGGGGATACGAGATTCCGATAACTTGTAACTTACGGTGACGGAAATAAGGGAGCCATTTGATTGCAATTTGCACCCAATGCTTCCCATACAATACCAGACAGTTGGTTGAAACTCCGTTATAAAGTTGCATTGTTTAAATCAGTCGGAGATCCAAATAGACATTATCAAACTCAGATGAACACGTTTCAAATGAACCGTTTCCATCATCGCTTGAACTTGAACTTGTTGCCCACGGAGTTAGGACCAATCTTCACGCTCACGCACCTCGACTTCACACATTTGAGGCGAAATCACGGTCTTTGAGAAAAAGCAGAAAGGACTCGCTTTGCCCTTCCTTCTTTCGAAGCGTGTCATCACAAGGAACATTGCGCTTGAAGCTTGACAGTCCACCTGATTATTATCCTCGTGGAACTCGTAGGATTTTCGTTATTGTCCCTCCGGAAAACAAAGCTCAAGTCAAGCTTCTTCTGGAGTCATTAGGTATACTGACTAGTATATAAGAGTAAAGCTACCAGGATGTGGCATCCACTGGTTCGAGCTCCTTCGGATCCGTCGAGTCTAGTTGCTGAGGTCTCAGACGGAATACGATTTTTGGTCGCAATGTTCCATAAATCTTTACTTTACATCACAGCTTTCTTCGCTTCTTCAGGTCTCTATTCCCTCAAGCCGACAACGAGCTCTGTCTATGGAGTGTGGGCACAAAGTCAACCCCAATACCTTCTAGGTCTCGGTGAGTGTTTACTGTCTATGACATAGCTGCTATTCAGACTGAGCATATTTTGATACTATGTAGGTATCGGTGACATTACTGGGTATGTATTTCAAATGTAGTATCCATGCTCTAACTGACGTTGAATTTCAAGACCGGTTGTTGAGACAAACATGATGGTAAGAATCTGATCCCTGTACAGTGACCTACATCGTCCCCATAAAATTTGATTTATCTTCTCTTAGGGATATGCAAGTCTTGCTCAAACAAACACAGGTCTTCACATGCGACAACGTAGCCGTGCATGGATTATTGCAGACAGCTCCAACCCATCTGACCGAGTGGTTTTCATCAATGCAGGTGCGTCGTGACGGAGAGGCTCTCATACTTATTAAATGCAAGCATGTGATATTAACATGTCTTCTTAGATATCGCTATGGGAGATACGGGGATTCGCCGTTCTATTGTCGACCAACTATCATCCCAATACCCAGGGCTCTATTCCAATACTAACATAGCCCTCGTTTCCACCCATCAGCATTCAGGGGTTGGTGGTTATCTCGAGAATCTTCTCCCTCAGATAACTTCTTTAGGCTACGTCAAGGAAACTGCAGATGCCATTGTTGCTGGGACGGTTCTTGCCGTACAGCGTGCACATGATTCTCTTCAACCCGGGAACCTTAGATTAGGGAATACGACTATTCTGGATGTCAATATCAATCGGAGCCCTAGTGCATACCTCGCTAACCCGGCTGAAGAAAGAGCAAAGTACCAGTGGGATCAGGACAAGGACTTGAGCTTGCTACGGTTTGAAGATTCCAATGGAAACGCACGAGGTTTCTTGAGTTTCTTCCCAGTTCATGGGACGAGTCTCTATGAGGTATGTCGCACGGAACTGTTATCGCCTTCTGGTTCTGACTCAATATCTTTGAAGAATAACACTCTAGTCAGTAGCGACAACAAGGGGATGGCTGCCCACATATACGAAGGTACGGGCTACATTGATTCTTCAGGAGTTAAAGTACGCTAACCAGGATAAAAAAGCTATGGTGGAACCCGACTCAATGCCAGGGAATGTCACGTTTATTGCAGGTTTCACTCAGTGTAAGTGCTACTGAACTTCCATTCCGATTGGTCCACTGACATCTATGACCATGTCCCAGCTAACGTCGGTGATACAAGCCCTAATACGTCAGTATCATTCGCTGAAGTCAGGTTCCTCTTCGAATTCTGAAACTCTGATAGATTGGGTGCATTCTGCGAATCACCTGGTCAAGCATGGGATGGTCTTCCCTGCGATTTCGATCATTCAACTTGCGGAAATAGAACTGAAGATTGTCATGGCCGGTATGTTATCTTATTCTCAACCTAATAGAATAGCTGACATCTCTATCTTTGTCGCAGCGGGCCCGGTTTTCGTATCTCCGACTTCGAGTCGAATAGGATGATCGCTCAGCTTCAAGTCGACGGAGCGAAGTCACTTATGGATACTCCTCAAACTTTAGCACCTGTCTCGGGTCCTGTATCGTGGGTACATACCTACATGAACATGTTCGTCACCCCTCAGGTCCCTCCTTGGAAATTCTTCTACTGACTTCTGTGGGCTATAGGTCGTTCCGAAGTTTCTCTCTACCGAACGGAACTACTGTACAGACATGTCCTCCAGCTATGGGTTATTCATTCGCCGGCGGAACAACGTACGTACCACACAAAGTACTTTATGGCCTGTAACCGGGCATGGCTGATATTCATCATTCTCATTCCCAAGAGATGGCCCTGGAGCTTTTGACTTTATTCAAGGCGACAATTCTTCTGATCCTCAAAATCCTTTCTGGGAGATTGTCAAGGGTGCAGTGACACCGTTCCCAAATGCTGAACAAATTGCTTGCCAGTACCCAAAACCGATACTGCTGAATACTGTAAGACATCTTTCACGTCCAAACTCACAATCGAAACAAATTCTGACACTGACCGTTTATGCAAAAAGGGTTTTGCGCAAATTCCATATTCTTGGTCTCCTCATACTGTCGATATACAAATTCTTCGAGTTGGTCAATTGGTAATGTTGATCATGCCCGGTGAAATGACAACTATGGCTGGTCGTCGTCTCAGAGATGCGGTCAGGTCTACGTTAATATCCTCCGGCGTCATTGGTGAAGATGCATACGTCGTTGTAGCCGGTCCTGCAAACACTTACGGACATTATATCGCAACAAGAGAGGAATATTCTGTCCAGCGTTACGAGGGTGCTTCTACCATTTTCGGACAATGTGAGTGAAGATTCCATGTATCGTGACCAAACATTCAACTTACATCATACTTGATTGTGATCTTCCAGGGACGCTCGATTCTTACATTGACAAATATACAAGTCTTGTTCAATTCCTCAATCCCAGTTTCACGGCACAACCTGCTTCGGATGCTGCGCCTCAAGATCAAACGAAGAACGCCATCACATTAAGGGTAAATCATTTCTATATAGTACCGCTATTGACTTCACACCGATTGCTCATTTTCTTGAAGACTCCAGTAATCGTTGACAACCCACCAATCGGAAAGAAATTCGGTGACGTCCTGGCAGATGTCCAAACTTCTACATATCATGCTGGCGATACTGTAGTCACTCAGTTCGTTGGGTAAGCAGTGTTTCTTGATTATATACAACTCTAGATAGCGATTCTAACAAATGGACATTGGAATCAAAGTGCTAATCCCAGAGTACGTACTACAACAAGAATGATGAAGCCGTTGTCCTTCGACTGACTAGAGTCGTTTGCATTTAGAACAATCTACGTCTTGAAGGAACATTCCTGACCGTCGATCAACTGGTAAATGGAAATTGGAAAGCAGTCAAGTCTGACTCTCATCCTTCAACGAAATATGAATGGTTACGAACCAATCTCGTACGTGTTCCTCTCCTCGAGACGTCTCTATGCTACCATCCTTACTTTTGATATTCTAGATATTGGGATTCAGTACAGTTAACATTTCCTGGTAAGTCCAATCTGAAGCTATCTAGTTATAAATTACCCTAAATCGTTGTCTTTCGTGACTCTTCAGGACAATCGAGAATGGAACCCCTCGTAAGTCTCGAATCACCTCATCTTGATCCTTCAAATTTGTGACCTTCTGGTACCTACAAAAATCTAGAGGGAACTTATCGAATCACATATATCGGAGATTCCAAACCTCTCATTGGTTCAATCTCTTCCTTCACGGGTCATTCATCCAACTTCACCGTCTCCGCGTAAAGTATTCTAGTGTCCACCCAAACAATCACGATTCGGATTGACTGATATTCACGAATTTTTTACGATTTTCATGTCACTTATGTATGTACATATCACTGCTGCTGTATCTTATGTTGTCGCAATTTCTTTGGATTTTAACTTCAAAAATGCTCAGTTGTCTGAGACCTATTTTCAGAGCAAATTTTGTTGGTTGTTCTTGATGAACAAGCCCTCTTTGTCTAATGGTTATGACGTCAGACTTCTACGCCATAGCCGTGATCTGGAGGTTGCGAGTTCGAGTCTCGCAGGGGGTAGTCGGTTTCTTTTTTCACAAATATACTGTACTGTACGAGTACACAGTAAGTACATACTTTTTACTGTTTCAAAGGATAGTGCTGTAGAAGGGTTGGAATCGTTTCAAAGTGAGTAAAATGACGTCCATGACGATTTGCAAAATATAGATTCAAGCCCTACTAGGTATACGAACAACCAACATACGCGATGAACAAACTGAAGCATTCGAGGCATCGAGAAGGAACTAACTAACTACAAGAATAAGCATGAAGTATGAACAACAAACATACGGTGAAATAGTAAATACTTATCAAAAACACGGGCTATGTAACCTCCAGAACCTACCTACAATCAAACAATCCAGCTAATACTCTACAGCATCATCCTCGTCCGCCTGAGCCAGATTCGACTCAGCAGATGCAGACGTTTTGATCTTTCCTCCCTCCGATGAACTCTTTTCATCTGCCGATTTAGCGACTTCCTCATCAACCTCCATCTCTTTCGATTCCGAAGGAGCACTTGGCTCATTGGCCACTTTCTCCTCCTCTTTGGCTTCAGTACTTGCTGACTTTTCCTTCTCCAATGGAGGTGAGGAATGTTTCAGAGGCTCCTCCTCCGTAGTTTCCATCTTCATATCTTCATTCTGAGTTGTTTGTGGGGGAGGTGACAGTACTGTAGTCGATTCTTTCTTTTCCGTCTTCTTGTCGTCCTTAGGTCGTTCTTCACCACCACCACCTTCTTCATCTTCAGCATTCAATTTAGACGGAGACTTTTTCTTATTTTCCTCTTCAGCTACTCTCTGTCGAAGTCGATTGATCTCTTCGAGGCCTGTAGCTCGTTCCGATTTGAACTTAATCCATTCCTTCTCCGCTGCATCATTCACCTGTACCATTAGAAACAAACGCGCGGTCAGTAGTTATATCAGTCAATGGTTGACAATACGACGTACCTCAGCTTTTCGTCGTTTCAAGAAAGCTTCTTGATCTGGAGTGAGGATGGCAGGTAGGTAGTAAAGTGCAGGTGGATTCGACCGTGGCGGAGGAGCAAGGGGATTAGCGGTAGTCAATGAAGGTGGCGGCGGGGTTGTCATGGTGGTATCATCCTCTTCAGAAGGTATCTGGTCAGAAGTGCAAAGGAAGTTGGCAAGGAGGGGTAACCGTGTTCTTCGCAGCTTGAACTGTAGATCATAGATTAGTAATCATGAATCTATGTCGGATGAAGATGAGAGACTGTCCAATATGACAGACTAAGAAGCACGGAATAGATATAAATTGGCGGAGAATTTGGCATGACATTGTGTCGCCAAGAATGCATAGATATGAGGGGATAACGGGTACACCAATCTCATGCCTAAACTGCATTTCCACGCTTCCGAACCAACACCAATGTTAAGTGAGGAGACAGGACGTACGATTGAATCTTTCAACTGCAACTCCTCTTCTTTCCTGTTTGCTGTGGTCTTGTCTTTTTTCGCCTCTTCTGCTCTCCTGACAGAGTCAGTTTCTTTTCTAAGCTTATCCTGTAACCTCTGTTCAATCAATTGTCTCTTCTTCGCCTATAATTCCGACACAACATCAATTGGTATTCGCGTCAGTTTCACAGGAAAATAAGTATTGAGAACTACAAGGGGACATACAGCATCGCTGGCATTTCTCTCTTTATCTTCCGACGCTGCTTTATTCAGAGTTCCAACAAGAAGTCCAAACATTGTCTTGCCACGTTTGCGTTCCCTTGGTTCCGTAGTCAAATCTATCCTCGGTCTTTTCCTAGTTGTCGCGGCTGTCATGGAGCCGGTTTCTCCATTGTCTGCAGCAGGAGCTATCGATGTTTCCGTTGTGGTGTTGTCGGGCATCGAGCTTTCGTGTGCATCGGTCTGACTGAAAGATCGAGACAAAAGGGGACTGTGTTAGTGTCGCAGAATTTATACAACTAACTTGATATTAGACGTACTGTTCTGTTGACATATTATTTGTTAGATAGGACGACGAGAGGAAAAGTTGAATGAGATTGTTGAGGGAAGCAACCAAGGGACAGAGCGTCTAACTTGATTGGCTTGTAATGAGATTGTAGTCATCGTGAATATAGGATTATTAACTCAGTACTTACTGTGAGACACTATTTCCATATGCGGATTTCAAATGCTAGAAAGCCTATATGGGCGTCACTTTGTCCCAAGCCACCATCTTCACCAAAACAGCATTTCCAAACTGCGGACGAGATTTATTCGAAAAGGCTCCGACTCTCCGAAGCTATCCATTCCTTTCAACATTCCCCTCGCTGACTTGGACCAGTAATTTCTGGATTCTCAACAAACAATCCGAATAACAACCCCCAGCTGATTCTCTGTAACCCACGTTCTTACGGCTTGCAAACCTGTGACCCGTTTTTAGACAACTCGGCTTGAGACGCATATCTTCGGACAGAACTCATCCCAAACCCCCATCCTCAGGCATTAATTCTCAAATCATGAAGTTTGTCTTCCAGTCTTTACTCCCAATCTCTCTGCTTCTAGTTCTCTGCCCACCACTCGAAGTAGGAGTCTATGCTCAACAGAGTCTTACACCACCAACTGTTTCTGCACCTACCTCCTCAGGCTCTTCGACCCAGACGACTTTGCCATCTGGGAGTACCAGCGCGAATGTATCAGTTACGGGCACTGCTACTAGCACGTCCTTCCCAAGTTTAAGCACTTATTCCACTTGTGGTACGTGAAAAATCATCTCTTGAATTTTGGGACATGTTCAATATGTGATATTGTCTCTCTACTCAGTGGTTAACTGCCTTACGTTGAGCGTTGCTCAGGCCGGGTGCGACAGTACGGTGAACGTGCAATGCTTTTGCAGCTCTACAAAGTAAGTCCGCTTTAACGCACCAATTTTTACCATTCGCTTCCTCTCCCTTGGTACACGAAAGAAGAATACCGATTCTTACCAATTCCATCTTTAGCTCAACCCGTTTCGCACGTTCCATGGTCAGCTGTATATCTTCCCAATGTCCAACCGACTTAGCGTCGGGTGAATCAGTCGGTCAACTGTTCTGTAACCTCGCAAGTCCTAGCATAACCCTTTCATACCTAACTCCGACTGCAAATGCAACTACCTCCTCCTCCTCATCTTCGAGATCTCAAGCAGTGACTGCTCCCCCATCGTCTTCACCTTCACCTTCTGACGGTTCCTTGAACGCAACTTCTGGTACTTCTTCCACTGCAGCACCTAGTCAGACGGGAAATAGTGCAACCGCTGCTATTGGGATTTCTAGAGAGGGTGTAATCGGATGGTTTTTGAACAGTTTCGTTGTTGGGATGGGTCTGATTGGGTTTGGAGCTTTCGGGTTCTAATTTTTGACCCAGTTACTGGTTGGGTTTGACCCCGTCTTTTATTCTTCTACCTTGGCTCTTTGCACCTTTATTTTCTCTCTTCATTATTAATTCACTTTACACCTCACGATCGTCGATGGACGCTTTTGTCATTTTTGTGCAGCGCACCACCATTCACATTCTTCATTTCGCAAATTCATTATATTCTTTTCAAAGGATTTTTTGTACGCCTTGGACTTTCGACTTATCGATATCATCATCCTCGTCTTTCTTAGCATGTTTTCCTGGGTATCCCCAATCATCCACGCAGATCCTATGTTCTCCATCTTCCAACATCGATATCTTCGTATTAGTTGTGTGTATATCGTTAGAGAATTCTGTAATACAGAATTTGACTCAAACATCCGTACGCGTTGGCGTTCTATGTAGAGAAAGGCGAAAATTCAAATAATATTTGTGTATACAACGTTGTACATGTGCATTGTACGTAGAGTGAAATACTTTACAGTAAGTTTGACTTCGGCATTTGCTCGCAATGGCGGGAGAAAATGAATCGTCTGACGTCATCGATCACGGGACACAAAAGAGAACCTCACCTTGTCGAAGAGACCATAAGGATTACTTTTACTCACAACCATTTACTGTACTAGTACTCAATCATTCATATCATCCTTCAAGCTTCAATATTCAAATATTAGGACTTCATAGCCATGGCATCACAACTTCCAGATTTTACTGTAATTTCGAATGCTTTCACCGAAATATCTCGCGGCTTCGAAATAATCGCTCATCATGCTCTCGCCGCTGGACAAGATGTTTTTAACCAACTCAATATGCTGCGTCGAGACATAGCTCAGTATCAAACTCGTCTGGACGAGCACATTGAAGCATCGGAGAAACGAGTCGATCAACGTCCTCAAGCTCTGGAAGGACGTATTGGAACATTGGAGCAACGGGTTCAAGACCTGGAGGGCCTCATCCATGCCCTCGAAGGACAAGTCCAATCTTTAGGTGGACGTTTGCAACCGATTGAGAACTTGTAAGACAATCACGATGAATCAGTCTAGAATCTTCTATCTCATTTGTTCCTCAGCGTCGAACAGGCCCCTATGAGGACTCGCAACGTAGCATACAGTGATCTAATAGGTCCGGATGGTCCGATACCAGCAAATCTTCCCAATACTCGAGGCAAGATATCAGCAGCGAATCGTAAGTAACAGAGTTGGCATTTAGGAGAATGTATCTCACAGTATCACAATAGACATCGAGTTGAACCAGTTGCATGCTCATCTTGGTGGTAATTTCGACGGCTATGATTTCAACCTTCGCCTTGAGGACAAGAGAGGAATCATCTGCGACTTTCTTGGGATTCCGAGGCTAGAGTGAGTGTACGTCTCGGTTTTCATACCGAATTGTTTAGTTATATCATAAGTATCATTATAATAATTTGACCGTGTTGTCCGAAAACGTTCGCACTGTTGTTCACTGGTACCGCCAGTCTAAGTGAATCATCGCCAGATGCGTCATCTACCAAGGACGAGACCGTTAAAAATATAGAATTGTTCAGATACAACAAGTACAATATATACACCAGATGAGAGATATGAAATGCAGATAGGCGACAAATTGGAAAGATGCAGAAAAGTATTGTATATGCGGATCGTCCAATTCGAGCGTGCTTAAGATGAGAGTCAGGGCATTCAA